GCCTTGCTTCAATGCTGCTGCTTCAAAAAATAAATGATTACTAATTTTAAAGCGTTCACAATTTCCATCTTGCTGCTAGCTATGATTAATTATGATGACTAATCATCAGATAATCAGATTTGACTAGTTCTGCATAAACTTTTCATGAGGTACAATAGCTTGTTCACATTTTGCTGACTCTGGGGAAAATGAAATCAAATTAACTGGAGCCACCCCCCTTTAAAAATTTACTCATAAGGATTCATAAAGGGATTCATAAGGAGTGCTTCAAAATGTTGCATCCTCTGCTCTCCACACCACAAATGGCTGTGCACCCTTTTGTTAGGCTGTGTACTACTGCACTGACTCATATAGAGTGCACTTGCTTAAAAATACTGATCATGAAAGAATTTGTCTTCAAGTTTTCACGAAATCGGTGATCAATTTCCAAGAGTGGTCTAAAATTAAGTGAAAATAGCAAAAGTGAATTGCTGCAAGCAAGCAAATTCCACTCTTAATACATAAATGTTACTGAAACATGGTCCTGGAAAGTTGATTATACAGAATAAAATCACACTCCACACCAAGGTACATGTCATTTCGGAAGTCAGCAGTGGCTGTCAGCAGGTGGCAAAGAATGTCTGCTGGCCTGGAACTGTGCATGTAATTGACTTTTTCATTCTCTTTCTGAAGAAGGGAAAAATGGGCTGGTAAAAGTGTTTTACTTGACCCAAGGTTTAATGTTATATTATTATTTCTCTAGGTTTCTTAACCTGCTTTTAATAGAAAACAAATTGGAAGTCAAGCTGTCACCTTTAAACATGTCAAAAGCATACAACGTTTGCACTAAATAATTTTAGGTAAAACAGTTTGCTGAACTTACATATTGCTTCAGGTGGTAAGAAACTAGTTTTCAGCTTCTGCATTTTATTAACGTCTGAAAAGCTTATGCATTTCTATTATGGAAAGCAGTGCTAATAAAGGGACGCATTGATGTTAAAAACAACAGCAAAAAATTAGTCATGTTCACTGTGATTGCAGGTTGTCATCACTTCCCACAGCGATTTTAACTGCTTCCTAGCAAGAAAGATTATTAAAGCAGCACTTAAAAATAGATAATGTTTAAATGAAACAAATGCTTGACCCAAAAATTACAGTTGTTTTTCTATTATTTTTTTTTTTTCCACTAGCAAAATCCTTGGTGTAACTCGGGGAAAAGTAACAGAACACTGTGAGGCCTGTCTGGTGGTCAATGTTTGTGGATTAAGCTAAGAATGTTATTCAGGAAAACAACTGAATCAGTCATGCAGTGCAGACAGGTGTTATCCATTACCTTACCAATTCAAGAAAACTGGAACTGCTGATAGGTAAATTCTGAGCAGAGAAAAGTTAAATCTGGATATTTTGCTGCATGCCACCATTTCAAAACTACACTGTGAATTGTTTCTGAGTTTGTACTTCAGCTTTTAAAACTAAATTTTCTTTCTTTCAACAGGAAATACTCTGTTTATTGGAGTTATCATTTGATTTTCTCTTTTTTAAACCAAGTTTTCTTGGAGATTTTTTTGCAGGGTGCTGAAGAAGACTAGAAACTCATAAAGCAGGAATACGGGAATCTGTACATGCATACAGAGCTTTTGACTCTTATCAACTCAGCTTACAAGGGAAGCGCTGGAGACCTAGAAACATCCCCTTCACCCTGATGGTTCAGCTACCCAATCTTTAAACATCAGGCAAGCGTGCAAGAAAGCACACAGGCATCAACTGTAGCAAAATGTTTTCATCTTGTTCAGCTGCTGAATTTTCTGCTCTGTATTTTCTGACTCTGCTACCAGAAGTTGCTTTTTGTTTTACTGCCTCTGTAGCAAGAGCCCGCTGCTTCACTATCACTTGTGTTTTTCAGCTTTTAAAATACATTAATTGAAATCCTTTGTGCAGGTCACGGAGCACTCTGATCAGGGGTAAAACAGGCAGGAGGTTGATTAATCCAGCAGCTGTGGGTGTAAGAAGCAGAGAGTCTTATATTCTTTTGCCTGCCTTCAAGGCTGTTTATGCTCTTTATTCAATTGTACTGTAATGCAGAATGTGTCGATAGTCCCCAGATCCCCAGGGCTCTCTTCTAGCTTTTTGCTACTAGCCATCCTCATTTGTTGAAGCATTTTGATGTATTGTCTCACTTCTTAAATCAGTCCTGGAGCCCTGTAAGCAGAATTGTTCTGCTCCACAGCAGTTCCCTTTCCTCCTCGACCTCCTGAAATAGCTATGCAGAAATCATCGCTTATTTGTGCCTCTTTCTTGAGGTTCTGCAAGCACAGTGTCAAAAGTATGGCTGGGGGAGAGGAACTGGACTTTCAGAAAGCTTGGCAGAGAGGCTGGTAAGGAGGCTGGGTGTTTGTGCAGTCAGAGATCAAATTCTTATATCTAAACCGCTGAGAGTTACAAAGCAAGAAGGTTAATAAGGAATTATCAACCTGGCAAAAGATTAACAGCAAGATGCCACAAGGTTCTATATTAAGACTGATTCTTATCAAACTTCATTTATGGTTTGGAAGTGTTGATGAATAGTGAACTGGAAAAAAATTGCCAGCAATATAGCAACTGCAAGGAACATAGCAGGGCAAAGGCTGATGAAGTGTTAGTGCTGGGAAATGCCTTTCAAGAGATGTTCAGAGTCGGCCCTTGTGTGTCATGTTTTCCTCAGGGCTGGTGAAATGGAAACCTAGAGGGTCCCATTACTGAGGGAGAAAGAGAATTTGAACAAACCCACGCAGCTGGAATGAGATTTCATGGGACTGCTTTGGCTGAAGGGGTCCTCTTTAGGTCATTCAGTCTGACCCCTTACTTCAGCAGGGCCAGCTACAGCAGGTAGCTGTCTGACGGTGTGTCTGGTTGGGTTTGTAGTGTCTCCACAGCTGGAGGATCCACAGCCTCTCTGGGCAACCTGTTTGACCACCCTCACAGTGAAAAGTATTGTCTTGTATTCACCTGGAATTTTATGTGTTTCAGCTTGTGACCACTGCCTCTTGTCCTGCTAGTGGACACCACTGAGAAGAGTCCAACTCCCTCTTCTTCATTCCCTCCTATCAGGTTTTTATACATGCTGCTAAGATCCCTCAAGATTTGGGACTCATACTCTGGGACGTTTCAGGGGTAAAATTGAGAATAAATGATGGGCTGAAAACTTCCTGCCTCTGTGGAAGGTGAAATGGGGAAACTCAGCAGTCTGAAGGTTTCTTGGTGTGGAAAAGAAACAGAATTGTTTGTGGGTTAGAACAGAGAACAGCTCAGCGTTACTGTGCACAGGGACGGGTGGACCTACAGCAACAAGAGGATCTGCATTTCCGGAGACTGCAGGGGTCTTAACAGGAATTCTGTAATGAGGAAGTAGAAATACCTGAACCTTGGTAAAGATGATATTTCAGGAGTGAGACCAGAAGGAGTTAAGGATCTCTTCAGGAATGGTGAAGTGGTATTTTGTTTGGATTCCTTGTAAACAGAGAAACTCTCATTTGGGAAAAGGCAAAATGGGATTCGGATAAGACTTTCTGCCTTTAGGCCAACAGCTGACAAATTTATTGTGGAAGGAATGATTTGATCTCGTAGTGTTTGATATTGAATTTGTTCACAAAAATGGACATCCAGAATCATTTTGTCCAGTTTTCTCAGATGAACTTGCACAATTAAAGGCAGATGAACCCTGAATCTATTGTTTAGTTTGGAGGCATCTTTTCTGCACCCAGCTATGTGCATACTCGGATCAAAACACAAAACCAGCAGTGTTGGCTCGGACCATTTGTGAAAAAGTAAGGATGATATTTACCTTAATTTGATATGGGGATGTTCACTGATTTTTCATGACAGCATGAGCAGCCCCGGGGATCTCACGATCTATGGAGTTAAAGGCACTTATTTTAGTAGGTAAGGATATAAATGTGAGTTAAACAGTGAAGACATGCTGAAATCTTGAATGTCTTATTGCCCACAGGCACTGAATAGAATAATCTGGTTTAATTTACACTTTGTGTAAAATCATTTTCTAAATAGTACAATAATGTCATAAACTAGCTTTAGGAACTTATCATTGTTGTTTTGTTACTTTCTCACTATTTCAAAGTAACGTTAGAGTGGTACAGAGCTCGTTTGTGAGGAGCTCTGACTATGCATATCATTTATATAGTGGAGTATTTTACTTATTGCTTCTACCCTTAGGGCAGGCTGGTGCTGAGCACTGCTAGGCAGCATGAAGGGCTCAATAATGCATTGCTCCATAATGCAACCTCACTGCAGTGGCAGAGGTGGTGATTAAAGCACTGCAGACAGAAATGCTGCTCTATTATATATATATATATGTATATATATATATATATATATGTTGTATCTAGCATTCCCAAGTCAAGAAAAGTGGCCAGAAACACCATGTTTGGATCTGCATGTATTTAGGGTAGGTTCGAGCTAGGCCTGTTATTTATGGCCCCTCATAGCAACAGTACGGTCTGCATTAGCCTGAAATGCGTAAGTTATGCTCAAATTGCTTCATATCTGACCTAATAAACTTTGCCAGACCAAGCTCAACCAACACCGTGGTAATTCAGATGTTTCTATACCTATTGAGTTCTTAATCTGCAGCCTGGATGTCCTAAAACATCACTGAAAACAGTGTCTCAGCAACACTAAAGCCCAGTTAAAAATGCCTCAGCGGTTCTAACTTGTCCACAGTTGGTCTGCACTGGTAGAGATGAAAAAAAACCCAGGAATATAGATAGCATGGAGTGTGGTCCCTTCATTTGTAGTACTGTTTGGGCTCATTTTGTTTTCAGAAAATGTACTGAAACTTAGAAGTCTATCTCTGTACTGTGGCTGTTTGAGTGTATGTGAGCTGGATGGAAGGCATGTGAAGAGCAACCGCGATTCAGCTCCTGAGGTGGGAGGCTCTTACTGGAGCAACACAAGCCCTATGGGTTGGATGAACAGTGAAAATAATAAGAAAACTGCTTCCTGCTCACTCTTACTGGCTCAGTGAGGAGCTCTGACTATGCATATCATTTGTATAGCTGCAGTCTGAGTATATTTTACTCATTGCTTCTGTCTTCAGATCAGAAGGAAGCAAGAAATGCTGCTCTTCTCATCTTTTGGTTCCAGATTCTTCTTGGACTTCATTACTGTTTGTAGGCATAGTATGTTACGTTCCTCTGAGTGTCCTACTTCACAGGTAAGGGTTGTTACTGTGCTAGTAAAAAAGCCTAGCTAAAACTCTTCTTTATTCAATGTAATTTCTTGCTTTATATCACATTAAACTGACAAGCTAAAATGAACAGGTGTTCATAACTGAAGAGCTATGAAATGATGTGGCACTAATGATCTCTACCAAAAGTACCACACATACAAAGGCAAATTCCCCTGTTGGTTAAATTGCTGTACTCTGGAGCAGACTGTAATTTAGCTATACCATGTCTGAGTTAAGGAGTGACTTATTCATTAGTCCTGTGTTTAGCTAGTTACTGTAAATTTTGCTGAAGGCATATATTTGGCTAGTGACACTGTGTAAACAGAGACCAACTTCCCTGGAATAGGAGAGTCTCACTTGAACAAAGCTTCCTGTTTAGGGACATGAGGAAAGGAAGAACAAAAGCAATATAAATAGGATAATGGCAATTTTTAATGGTAGTACACAGGAGGAGAAGGTATAATCCTGTACTGAGTATAACTATCATAACAGATGATGGCACATGCTAACAGCATGATTCAGTTTTCTGTGTCTGTAAGTGATGAATGGAAAGACACCACTAGTAGCAATTTTTTGGGGAGGAGGTTTTCTGACTGCAGGATGACCATTACACCTGAGAGGTTATTGCTTTTGATGTTCAGGAAGGACAGAGGGGAATAAACCTATATGACTTGTTTACATTAGCTTTACCAGACCTCTTTATTCAATTCTATGGCTGAATATGGGCAATGCCACTAACACCAAGTATCACCAATCAATCATCTCATGTGTTCCATTGCACTACTGCTGTGGTGCTCTGTACTAATAGAGTCTGTCAGCAGAGCTGAAGTTCTGCTAATTAAGCAAACACACCCCACCAGTCCCTGAAAAACAGCAATGTAGAATAGAAACCCATACATACTTTCCTCTAATACTTTGTTTCATAAATCTGTAATTTTTTCATATATGGGAAAAATGGGTGATGACAAATTGTCTCATAAAGATTTCATACACAGGAGTTTTGGTTGGTTCTATGATTTATAAGTAACAACTGCTTTTCCTGAGATCATTTTTTTGAAACAGGCTAGTAGGATGCAGAATGTATGTACTTTTTGTTTTGTTTTGTTTTATTTTACTTTTATCAAGAAGGTCAGGTATAATAGCTGCTTTAATTTCAACTATCCAGAACGTTTTTTTGTTTGTTTGTTTGTTTGTTTTAAGATTTCTGGTAATGGCTTTTAATTCCCTTTCTTTCTGTAGTACTGTAATGACCTCAGGAATTGACATTTCTGGACAGAAAGCAAGTTCTGCCTTTCACATAAAGAATCATAGCTTGGTTTTTTAACTAAAAAAAAAAAAATAAAAAATGCAAGGCATTAAATTTTAAATGTCTGTTTTTCAGGACTGAACTGTGTGATTTCCACGTGCATCCTTGTACTAGAGTTCTATGCAATAACAAACATCTGCTGTGAGTGATGAAAGAGGGATTGCTATAACATGTATATGCTGGCACCATATATTACTTGAGATAGGATGAGCCATGTAATCAGAGAAACAAAAAATGCAACTTAAGTTTCAAGTCTAATGCTATCCTTGTTCCAGCCTTCCTCCAGTGTCTGAATTGGATCCTAAGTTATTGCAGGATCAGTGTGGATCCCAGGACTTTGGTCAGGATATACAAAGGATATACATTTGTTCTTGATGGCAGCTTTTGAAATCCTTGGTATATTTATGAACCTCCTTTTTAATCTTTAATTCCTGTCATCAGAAATTTCCTGTCTCATTGATTTGTACATTATCTTTGCACAAAATGTAAAAAAAAAAGCTATAAAACTATGTAAAAGGTACTGAACTGTCTTCTTTAGCATTATGAGATGTTTCAGCACACAATGAGAATGCGGCTCCATTTACCAAAGGAAGATTTCAGCAATTCACTTACCAGGCTGCTTGCAAATGTCAGTCCTCTGAGCAATAATAAGGCAACAAGTAGGCTGAGAACAAAGCTGCTGATAATTCTGGTGCTACAATTAAAGTAAATATGAGGGCCGTGATGGGTAGGAGTAAGAGATTTGTTTCTGCAAGGAAAATATTTGTGTCAGAAAAAGCATCAGGCACTATGAACTGAGCTGCTCACGAGCTACATGTGCTTTTGAGAAGCATGCTTGAAAACAATAGCCTGAAAATAGAAGATAGTATCCCATGGGTTATAGCGGACATTTTGTGAGCCTCTGCAATGTTCAGGTGGGATCTGTTTTGTGCAGCCTTATTGATAAAGTCCAGATGAAGCCTGGCTGGCTGCTAACTCTACAGCTGTCACAGATTGAAGAGATGGTGTTTTGTTAGGAAACTCAGGAGTTCATGATGACCTGGGAGAAGTTTGTCCCAGTGAGAAGCGAGTTGATTTGCATTTTTAGAGAATCATTACCCAGAAACCTGGGACTACTTGTGTGTGTTTGTACAGCTTTAGAACCAGTATGCAGCATGTCTGAAAATAGTTTTACTTTTCATAGGCTGCTTCCATCATAAGCTTAACAGTATGCATTATTCAAAGGAGAACTGTTTTAGTTTACTTGAGTTTTGTCTATGACGCATCTGGCCTGCCCTTTAAAAGGCGTCAATAATTTTAATGTATGCAAATACCCGTGAAGTTGCATAATTCTGAGTACATGCACAAAGAGAGAGATGAGCCTTGTGGTGTATAAATACCTTAGAATAGATGTGCATACATCAGAACTGGTTATCTTGGGTACCCAGAAAGGGACAGTCTGAACTAATTTGGAAAAAATCAGTTGCAGAGATAGTAGTTTCTCTGTATTGGCAGTACAGCAACCTAGATGTACATGCAAGTAGTCCATGGGGGAATGTATTATTTGTACTTATCAGGAACTAGCTTTGTGCACATTATAAAATAAATAAAAAGGCTGCAATAATGTTCTTATAGTTTGTTGTTGCTGATGTCTCTTCTGAAGCTGTTTAAACTATTCTTTCACATTCCCCTATGGCTGTTGAACTCTCTCAAATTAAGGATAAAGTCAGGTAGATTCAGTCCATATTGACTGTATTCCACTGATTTCTGCTCTGGCCTATAAAATATATGGATACAGTTCTTCATTCTCATTTTACTATTAATGCTAATTCTACATTTACAAATAAGTTATAGGGTTTTTTAGGGATATGTAGAATTTGCAGTCAGTTGTATCTATCAGACCTGAATCTAAAAATTAGGCCTCCAAACATTTGTCAGTAAGGGAAAATTGATAATCAGCTTGTTCCAGGCATGTTTTTTGCTATGCAGTTTTCTTAAATCCTTCTTCACCGTGTCTGAATCTTAGTATTGTTCTTCATAATTGTATCTTACCTCAGAAAAAACCCAGTCAGTTTTGGGTTGACATGCAGTTCTTACAGTGCAGAAACTGAAATTTCCTGGTGCCAGCACCTCTAAAACCGATGCAAAACTTAAGGTACTAATACAGTAACAGCAGGCACTAACACTGATGAAGCATATTTGATCACTGAGCCAAATATAAGGCTTAACTAAAACCAGCTTTGGTTAGCATAGAGAGACTTCTGCAGAAACTTTAGCACACTTTGGCTTCTTCACCTTTTGGTTAATTTTTCCCCTTTTCTGTTCCCTTTGCTCTGAGTCCTCTTCTTTGCAAGGCTTTGGCTGTAAGCAAGAAAGAAGTAATCTATATGCTTATAGCAAGGCTGATGACATGAAGGGTTTTAGAAGAGTTTTAATCTTCAGTGAACAAAAGCTGACCTTCATATGTAGTAAATGGTTTTCTTGATAGGCTTTTAGTGAGAATGTTATAGTATTACAGAAGGCTGTGTAATGATGACAAAGCTTAATACTTAAAAGTGCTCATGGAGATACAAAGATGATGCAATGGTTTGTTGAGAATGCTGTGGTTTGAGTGTGCTTGCCAAAAAAGCTGAGACAGAAATTAAATTTCCTTTTTTTTAAAAAAATAATACCAACTGAAAAATTCCACTCGAGGTGGTGGAATTTGTCAGCAGCTGTTTATTTGGGCCAGTGTGTTAATAGAATTGTTTAAAAAGGATAAGCAGGAGAATTTTTGAAAGTTTGGAATTTCAGCTTTTGTGGTTCAGCTCACTGCTGATAGGATTTATTCTTGTCAAGAACCAAAGCTTTAAAAATAAAAAAAAGTAAACACTTTGGACTTCTTACCATTTGCAGCTTTTCAGTAATAATTGCAGTGTATGTATGTGCATATGTTGAGTGGGAAGTTCATAGCTGTTCATCAGTTAACTATTATGGACACTCCTATTTTTACAGTATTGCATTCATTTGCTGGAGAGAATTCTGAAAGGTTCTAAACTGCTGTTGGTGCCTTTACTTTATTCTGATGGCTTTTATATTATGCAGGTTAGAACAGGAGACAGAGAGCCTTAATAAACTGGATCTTGGTCTCATTTTTGGTTATCAGATCTCAGGAATGTTCTGTTTATCATCTGCAGAGTGTAGCGAATGACACTAATGACTGCCTCATAGGTTATATCATGTTCTGAGGTTAATTTAGTTAGTACTGAATCCTGTTGTTTCAAAAGATCAGAAAAAAAAACCTTATTTTGATTAAAGGATTTCAGGGATCTCTACGTTTCAAAAGGCTGCATAAGGTCTGATGGAACCAGAACCAGCTTTGTTGTTGTTGAACTTAATATTCATACTGAGCAACAATTGAGGTGTGCTGATAAAATAGTAAAATACTTAAAAAAAAATATCCAATAAGTTCTTGTGCACTTCTGTTTTCTCTTTGTAGAGTGGGATTTCTGGAATGGGTGTTAAAATGGGAATTAAAAAATGTAGGTGTGCTGTTCTGGACTGTTAATGTGCAATAGGAGAAGGGCAGAAATTTGTATATTGTCTCAAGGCAGAAAACCAGACAAGAAAAAGTAAATTCTGGTGGGATTTCAGCCCTGTTTTGCAAACCAAACAGTTTGGTTGTGCTGAATTTTAGGTAAACGTCCAGACTTTGGGATCTTTGCCTGGGTGTGTTTCCTAAACCACTTAAAGCTCACTCAGTAAAACCTTGTGCATTTTTGGAATAGGGAAGCTGAGTGACAAGCCCTTGTCTCTGACAGAACTGTTTAGGTCAGCAGGACACAGGATTTAGCACTAAAACTTTCCAGGAAAACCACAATGGATGTACTGGTGCCGTTTCTCATAATTTTGTCTGAGGCAGGAACTACTTTCACAGCCTCTTATCTTATGCTGTGGGGTAACTTTCATTCATAGTTACTTCTACTTTGTGTAATGCTTTTGCCTTGGTATTTTTTATAGTACTTTCTCATATGTATACAGATAAATGGAGAATTTTCTTTATTTTAAAAACAATGTTCTATGAATCAAAGGTATTAAAAATATTATTACAGTGATCAAATACTTTTTTGCTGCCTGATTTATCTGATGCCAGACCACGATATGGGAGGAATTTTACGAACACGAATTGTACAGGCCAGAGGTGAATCCTCTGTCTTTCCCTGTATTTGAGGCACTGACTCTGGTCATGTTTTGTCAGACCCTTTATGGTTCGCAGCAAGCGGAGAATGGGTAGGTGTGAGAGTAACAAACTAAATGTATTTGTTACAGAAATTAGTACTGCAGATGGTACACCTCCTTATAAATACTTCGGCTTCTTTACGTTGAAGAGGGGGTTGTGCATTGGGGAATGAAGGTAGAAAGTTGGCAATTGTAGTTGTCTAGGAAACAGAGGTCGTAAAGCTGGAAAGCAAAGGGAAAGAGGCCAACTGATCCTGCCATACTTGCTGTGTATTGTCACCATATTGTCACCCTGGTTCAGCTGAAAGCTCAATGAATTGGTCTGTGACTTTGGGTTTGACTTCTGTTTTGTTTTGTTTCAAATGTCTTTGCTTCTGCAGTGCTGCCAGTCGAAGGCAAAGAGCCAGAAGGTGTGGGGCTGGACAGACCCCAGCTGGGATTTTGTTGTCTCCATGTTTTCCGTGTCCCTTCCAAATTTTCCACTCTGGATTAGAATGGCTTAAGGAGCAGTGCCAAAGCTTGGGAGACTTTCCTGCTCCTGCTGAGAGGGCCAGCATCCCAGACTGGCTGCCCTTCCTTTGGATGCTGTGTTGCCATCCTTGGGAACAGTGAAGACTAATGGCTTTCATTCCAGGGAGAGCTTCTGGAGCAGCCACCCCAGAAATGGAGGTCAGCACAAGAGCTTCCTCTGGTACTAAAACTGCATGTGGGAAGCAATGCTTGTCCAAAAATATAGACTAAACAGGACTTTTCCTGCCTTGCTATTACCATGCACTAGTGTTTTCAGGTGGATGGGAGAACAATGTCCTGGGTACATAGAGAAATACCGCTTACAGTTAGGTTTCCCGTTCACTTCCTTACTTCTCAAAGGCTTCCTTACTTCTCCTCTAGGGCTGAATATGCCTCTGTTCTAGAAGTTATTCACTCTCCCTATCCCCAATTTTGTTACCAAATTCAGTTTGCTAGTGGAAAGTTGTCTGTTGCAAAGATTGGTGCTTTCTCCACACACGTCTGAATATCAGTATATCTGAATCTTATGTTGTGTTTGATGAATATAGTTACAACAAAACTTAAATTCTTTTCCCCAGAAAAATAAACCTGGTAAACACCAGCTCCCATTTCTTCCTATGATTGTTTTTGGAGAGAGCTAGTCAGTAACTCTTCTTAGAGAGGAATTATTTTTGTTTTTGTTAATGTGAAACTAGTATTTTGTTTGTATTCAGCAGTTTAATTGTGGGTTAATTGATCCTGTATTCCAACTCAGGAAGTGGTAGCTCTTTGTTGTACTTCTGGGTACCAATTCCGACTTTCTTGTTCTGAGAAATCAAGCATCTGCATTCATTAGGTGTTTCAAATGTTACGTTGACTTTTCAGAAGTCTTTTTTGAAATCTAAAATTATGTTTAGAATTGCCTCTTTGGTTTTGTCTGAAAATTGCATCTTTGTTTTTATGAGGATTGACTCACATCAAAGCTAAACATTTCCCACCAGGCATTTCTTGATTTTGTGATATTTGCCTAAAGAGCCTCAATTCAGTTTAGTTTTCTGTAATTTTAACATTTCTGCATTGTCTGAATAACAAATTTGTTAGATATTCTAAGTCACTCAGGCCTTTCATTTTGAAGGTAGGTTTCTGCTGACATACCTTATCATCTTGTTTCCTACAATATGCATGCAAATTAAGTTATTGACAAGTGAAAACAAGATTAAATGTATAAACCACAAACCTGAGCAAACCACAGAAAGATCAGGAGGGCCTGAAGCACTTACTTGTGCTTCATCATTTTTGTAAATGACTACTTTAAAGGAGAAAAGTATTCACTCCAAAGAACTTGGATATATTTTTTTCAGTCAGCTCAGAAATATGAACTATAGCAATCATCCTAAAAGATGAAAATGTTATGAGACAATCACTTTTTGTCCTTTCCTCACTCTCTGATAAACTGAGATTATGATTAAACGAAAGAGCAGATAGCTCTCTGCAGATAAAGTACAAATAGGTTTTACTGTTCCAAGCCATTTCTCCTCAGTGTGTTTCTGACCCTAAAGGTGAACAAAAAAGCTGCAACCATAAAAATAGCAAGAGGGAATTGCACAAAGCACTTGCAAGGATATAGAGTTTTTAGGGGAATTGGATGGAATGGATGATTAGGGCATTACAGCTCTAATGCCTCAAATTGTGAGCTTCTGCCTGCTTTTGCTTTGTTAGCAGATTCTGGATGAGGTACTTGGTTCAGAGGTCTAGCATTTCTTGACCTTTGTTGCTCACAGACATGTTCTTCACCCATCTGTCTCAGCAGGATGGGTAAGGGTAGCTTAAATTGCCCTCTTTAAGCACTGCAAATAAATAGATTCCATGTTAGTAGTGACTCTGGACTGTGTCTGGAAAAGGTATGTCTGTAGTAACGTGTTTGTTATCCAGCTATGAGGATCAGATCTTAAATATCTATATCTGTTTTTCAGATGTGCTGATGAGTTTGCAGTTTGCTTTGTGATGTTTAGTTTTCAGTTGTAAGAATTAGGCTAAAA